TCATCGAATATTAGGAGGGGGAGTATATGGGAGGACTCTTATAGTAGATATGATTCTCAGTCGTACGAGGCTGGGAAGTCCCATATCGGATGGTGTTGAGAGATTATGAATGGCACCCATACTAGACAGGGTATGGTAACAGCCGATATAAGTGGCACTCATATTGGACGGGGTATATAGTGATCAGTTCAAGTGGCGCCCATTACCGGACAAGGTGTGGGGACGGCTGATAGTGGTGAAAGAAATATAAGTATCCATGAGTAAGAGAAACCCCTATGAGGCCCATAAATACTGGGGATGAAAATAATTCAAGAAGATGGGTAAGGGAATGGTTAACAAAGTAATAGTATTTCATCATATTCCTGAATGTATCTAGATATAGTGCATGAAAGTTGTTTAACAAAAAAATATGTATTAAATTATTTTCCATAAAAGAAAAGGGTGCGACCGCACAAATATGGTTTTCAATACAAGATAAGTGTTTTATTGGCCGTTTTATATTTTCTGCAACCCTTTGGTTCCTGTTTCGGCGGTAAGGTTTTTTTGGCATTCTTATTGAGCTGGTGTTGCTCACTCCCTTCTTATCACCATTTCATATCATCACGATCAAGATTTGGATCTTAAATAGAAAGAGACCAGTTAAAGAATTATCTCTTTTGTTTCGTTAATTTTCGAGTAGAGGGTAATCATAATTGTTTTCTTTCTATATTTTTTCAGTTTAAATTTTAAAAATATTCTTATAACCCTATTGAACATTTTTAGTAACGTGCAAAGAATGTAACCTAAAAATATTAATTGTGTCCCCTATGATAATAAACTTCAATAATATCATTTTACTATTACTGCGTTATATGCTTGAAATTCCTAATAGAGGTTTGAGCTTTTACAGACCTAGTTAAAATTTTCAAGTTTAGCACATGCTCAAGCTTGGATAAGTAATGAGCGTAGACCTCTACTAGATGACCTTAAGTGAAGTCGTACCTTCTCCATTTCTTCGAAAACCTTTGGCCTACTTTGCCCATGCTCAAGTGAGGGATGGATGTAGGACGCCTGTAGGGCCTTAGTAAAAAAATAGAGAGTAAAATAGACATATTCAAGTATTTTAAAATTTTTAATTTGAATTGAGTCTGTCTTCTCAATTCTCATATTATATGATTATTGTATTATTTATTTTTAGTTAATATAGTTTTTTTTTAAATAAAACTCACTTAATTTTAATGTTATTTTGATAATTATTAAAATATATGATATAATGAAATTAACGAAGAAGTGAAAGTTGAGAAGCTTACCTGGTTAGAGTACGCGCCACGCTATGGGCTTTAGAGGCAAAGAATTCGTGCGGCATTTCCAATAAACTCAACAGTCGCCGCCTCTAGCGTGAACAGATTAACGGCTGCGATGACGAGTGGAGAGCCAACGGTGCAAATCAACGGACTGAGATTTACCTACCCAGGAATCGACGGCCATCCGCCGCAGGGAAGCACTCCTTTAATCGAAGATTTCTCCCTTATACTAAATTCTAGTGAGAGGTGCCTACTTGTCGGTTCCAATGGCGCTGGTTAGTAATCACTTCAAATTTAAAGATCACCCTCTGCCCCAATCCGCATTTCCCAGCACTCAAATTGATGGAAATTGTGGTTTTATGACAGGGAAAACAACGATCTTGAAACTATTGGGAGGAAAACACATGGTGGAACCACAAATGGTGCGGGTGCTGGGAAGATCTGCTTTTCATGATACAGCTTTAGCGTCGTCTGGTGACCTCTGCTATCTTGGAGGAGAGGTTTGTATCCCTTGTTTTTTCTCCTTTCTTTGTGCTTCATGTGCTGTCAGATTATTCAAATTGAAGGGGAAGCGAAATTTGTGGATTAGAGCTAGTAGATTATTGGTTATTAACTTCTATCTTTGTTGTTGAAACTTTCAATTTTACTTTTCTCGCTTCTGCAGTGTATAAGGCACTATATGCATATTGAGAAACATGTGTTAAGTATAATCTAGTGTTTCAATTTGGCTCGTATATGTATATGTTTGAGCACTAGCCTTATACTATATTGCATTACAGGTAATTGTCTGTTTGGAGGACAATTTGAATGAAAGCTGGTGACCTTGATTGTGGTTTCTAAGGTTTAATACTAACTGATATGAAGCTTTTCTTTTGCAGTGGAGGCGAGATGTTGCTTTTGCGGGGTTTGAGGTTCCGATACAAATGGATGTTTCAGCTGAGAAAATGATTTTTGGAGTAGCAGGTATTGATCCTTTGAGAAGAGCGGAGTTAATCAAGGTAAGTACTAATATAGTTCCTAATAAATTTGTAAAAGCTTCCTAGGCACCTTGGTATGCATATAGTCGTTTTGTGATGGGAACTAGTAGCTGAAGTTGAAACTAACCCATCGACGGTAACATTGCTACAAAAAAACGTTGAAGTGACAAAAAGAAGGATTTGAAATGGTAAGATTGGTTTAAGGATGACTCTGTAAAAATTGATTATTCTACAAACTATACTTGCTTTGCATGAGAATGAATATGTTTTTAACCAAGTGGGTCATAGTATCCTTTCAGATGCTTAACATGAAAATGGAAAGAATTAACTCGACAGAACTGGCAGACTAATTAATAAAAGTCTCATACACATAACATGTTAGTTGCTGTACCTTTGAGCTCTGTCATGACTATAAGGAAATGTTGATATTGAGGATGTTCTTTATATGCATAGCTTGGCATTTTTATTATGGAAGGAAGGGGCAGTATCTGTTGGTTCGCAGTAAGCAAATATTTAAATGGAAATTCATATGGAAATACTGTAAATTGAATGATGTATAAATCAAATATCAATTCCTTGTTCTATGATCCAAAATTCATGAGCCTGTTCAGTTACACCAATGATTCTGTTATACTTGGTGATTTTGTCGTTATTACTGCTCACTAACTTTGGTGGTATAGGTATTAGATATTGATCTTTCATGGAGGATGCACAAGGTCTCTGATGGTCAGAGAAGGCGTGTTCAAATTTGTATGGGTCTCCTGAAACCATTCAAGGTATCCCCATCCTGTACATGATGAGTCAAGTTCTTTGTTTCGCTGCTTTTACATCTACTTCATATGTTAAAATGCTTGGATATTTGTAAATATACTTATTTCAAGACTGTTCCTTTCTTCTATAGGTTTTGCTTCTTGATGAGATAACAGTTGATCTTGATGTGCTAGCCAGGGCTGACCTTCTGAAATTCCTAAGAAAGGAATGTGAAGAGCGAGGTGCCACCATCATTTATGCAACCCATATATTTGATGGTCTAGAAAATTGGCCAACACACATTGTATAGATCATTGCTTTGATGGCACTGCCATTCTTTTCTTTTTGTTTCCTTACCATGTAAAAGGAAAAAAATAATAATACTTTCATAATTTTCACGATGTCAGGTTTACGTGGCACATGGGAAGCTGCAATTGGCGATGCCAATGAATAAAGTTAAGGAAATCAGCAAGGTGTCATTGATGGTTAGTTTTTGATTACAAACTTTTCATCCTGGTCCCAAATCTAGTGGTTGTTTTGAGGTTACCAAATATGAAAGTCATTAGGTTTCTTAGAGTATGATTCGGAATACTTCTTGGTTGCTCTTTCTTTTTCAAATACAGTTCCTTCTCAAACTTAGATCTGTATATGATAATGTCTTGTTTTGAATGGGATAGCAGAGAACTGTGGAGAGCTGGCTTAGGAAAGAAAGAGAAGAAGAGAGGAGAACGCGAAAAGAGAGAAAGGAAAAGTTTGAAACACATGTTGAGGGAAGCCGTGTGGTAGGAGATCCAGCCCGTGCTGCTGTTCGAGCATTGAATAATGGTTGGGCTGCAGGAAGACTGCATGCCACTGTTGCTGGTGAAGAAAACTTTGTCCTTAGCTCAAACAGAGTTTTGAGGCAGTAAATAAGTTAAATATTAATGTTTACTGTACTTGGAGATTTCTACTGATGCCTTGGCAAGATGTACTTGTGGAGAACTCCCCCCCCACAGCTCTACTATTGAATTTTCAAGGACTCGCTAGTTCATACACTAACTTCTGTGAATTGCCTCTCTTCATAGCCAAACCTCATTGCATGAACATATAAGTTATC